GAACCAATCAGATCGACTGAGGTCAGCGTGAACTCACCACGGCGACCATCTCTGCTGCGTTTCCACGGGGACAACGAATAATCGGCACCGCACCTGAAGAAGAAAGAAGACCACAACAACAACCCTTTAAATACAGTCATATCATCCATAAACCTATAGAAGAAGAAACAAGACAACAACAACAACCCTTTAAATACAGTCATATCATCCATAAACCTGTAGAAGAAGAAACAAGACAACAACAACAACAACCCTTTAAATACAGTCATATCATCCATAAACCTGTAGAAGAAGAAACAAGACAACAACAACAACCCTTTAAATACAGTCATATCATCCATAAACTTGTAGAAGAAGAAAGACTTTAAACCAGGAGAATCAGTGTGACAGTGAGGGAACAGCTCCCCCTGGTGGACAGAAACTACACTGAGAAAAGCTTAATTTCTGCCTGAGATAAGTTAGTTTGTTCTTTATGAAACCTGATGATGTGTTATGTCTTTGTGGTAGAAAGCTGCTCTAATCTAAACGTATAATTAAATCATAGTTCAATCATTTGTTCAATAACTCAAAAGGGTCAAATAGAGAAATCAGGGTGCTTCTTTATTCATCACCAAACATTGGTAGGAACCAAACTCTAGCTCACCCAGAGAGACTCTAGCTCACCCAGAGAGACACTAACTCACCCAGAGAGACACTAGCTCACCAAGAGAGACACTACCTCACCAAGAGAGACTCTAACTCACCCAGAGTGACGAAGAAACAGAACAGACTGTCCACGATGGTGTCCATGATGGCCTCCATGTCCGTGTCCTGGAGGTCTGCTCTGTTGATGGCTGCAGGGGAGACATGCAGGTCAGAAACAAAGGTGAGACAAATAAGTGAGACAGAGGAGACGGACAGGTGAGACGGACTAATGTTGTCTGTAGTTTGTTTGGGTTCAACTGGATTCAAATGGACCAATCGGGAGCCATTCAGGAGTAAAGAAAAGGTCACATGACTCAGGTGCAGCTTGTTTATTGGACAGAGTTGTAGTAATGTTTGAATAATGGCTTTTTATTCCACCTCACTCTACCCATAATCCTTTGTGTTTTGGAGCTGTGTGTGTGTGTGTGTGTATTACCATGGTAGGAGATGAGCTCCTTGTTTAGATGGCAGAGGGTAAACATGTCGTCTTCCAGAGTGATGAAGTTCAGGTACTGATCATACACCTGAGACACAAACACACACAGAATTCATAGATATAAATATAGTTGTGAGCTCTAACTCTGAGGATCTCTGGCGCTCCAACATAACAATAATGATAATAATACTCTGATGGTGTCAGATAATACAGAGTAACCATGCTAACCTTGGTGACTTGGGCGACAGCGTTAGCGGCCAGAGCAGCGCTGGCGACGTCCTCCAGTTTACTTCTGCTGATGGCCGAGATGAAGTTGAGGAAGTAGGACTCGTACAGCTGGTTCCTCAGGTCCTTAACCAAAAAGAAATCATTATTATTAATTATTATCACTAATTCTTTAGAGTGTTTCACAGCTCTTAAAGGGACAGTGTGTGATATTTAGTGGCCTCTAGTGGTGAAGCTGCAGATTGCATCTAATTAAATATCCCTCAGCTAAGCCCCTCCCTCCCCTTTTACAAACTATGGTGGCCTTCAGGCAGCGAGGACGTTAGTACTACTATGAGCTGCTCTTATCAATACTCTGCTCTTATTCCTAATGAAATTATTGTTTTTGTAGAATTTTTAAAACAAATAAATTCAGAACAGGATTAGAATTTATATTTAAAATATATGTAAATATTGTTAATGGAGCAGCAACAGTTATGTTTACAACAATAAAGTCTTTAATATTCACTGCTGGTTGATTTGTCAAAAAAATGTTTTTCATGATGTTCTTGTGCCTGAGAGGACAGGTGAGACACGCAAGTGAGAGGACAGGTGAGACACGCAAGTTTTATGTCACATACAATAAACTTGTATACACATATATGAAATTTGTCCTCTGCATTTAACCCATCCGTAGCTTATTGGGAGCAGTGGGCTGCTGAGAAGCGCCCGGGGAGCAGTTAGGGGTTCAGTGTCTTGTGTGCTCAGGGACACTTCGGCACAGGACATGTAGCAGCCAAGGATCGAACCACCGACCTTGCGGTTACCGGACGACCCTCTCTACCCAGTGAGCCACGGCCGCCCCAATTGTGAAACAGTGAGACATGCAAGTGAGACACGCAAGTGAGACGGACTAATTATTTTGATTGCGTCTGTCTGTCTGTCTGTGTGTGTCTGTCTACCTGGCATATCCTGTCAATGTTCTCCTCTGTGGGCATGATGAAGTAGATGGCTGGAACATCTGGGATCGGATCTCTGTCCGAGTGAAGCAGACTGAAAAAAATAAAACACACAAAGTAAATGTAATACTTAAACCTACAAACAAGCTTTTCTATCTTTGTGAGGACCGAGCTGATGAAGAGATTTATCTTGGTGTTATTGTGAACAGGTGAGTCTCTTACAGGTGCAGCGTGATGCCCATGTCTCTCAGCTCTTTGACGGACAGCAGAGGGGAGATGATGTCCTGACCAAACCTGTCGTATATCAACACCTGAACACACACACACACACACAGTAATAACTTAGTACTCTTAAATAAAAAGTTGAACTACATAGTACTTAACTTAATCAGAGTGTTTGTTACCTTCCATACTGGCTCAGCTGCTGTGTTCTTCAGAGGAGGCGCGTTGAAGTTCAGCATCCGCTTCAGAGCGACTGTAGAAACAGAGAAAAACAACATGTGGATGAACTACTGATCCTTCAGAGGGTCCTCATGTTATCTACGAGAAACTCTCTCTGTCCTGTGTTCACTATGTCCCGTGTTCCCTCTTCCTTATACGTCTCCTCTGTTCCCTCTGTCCTATTTGTTCCCTCAGCCCTATGTTCCCTGTTCGCTCAGCCCTGTGTTCTCTCTGTCCCTCAGCCCTATGTGTACCCTCAGCCCTATGTGTACCCTCAGCCCTATGTGTTCCTTCTGTCCCTCAGCCCTATGTTCCCTCTGTCCTATGTGTTCCCTCTGTTCCGTGTTCCCTGAGCCCTATGTTCGCTCTGTCTGGACTACAGCCCTGTGCTGTATAACGACAGTAAATTAACCTTGACCGCACTGACAGTCCTGTAGTCCTGACTCAGTTAGTTTTACATCCGAAGACACTACGCTGAATGATTTCTTCACCGGTAGAAACAGGCTAGCTTCACCTAGCTAGCAAGCTAACAGTAGCGTTAGCCAACAAGCTACGCTCCTGGTTAACTCTTCATTTAACTAGATGACAGTCTAGTGAGTTCATTAATGTAAATGTCAAAGAGACGTTTGATGAGATGAAATCAGTGTATCTGCTCAACGAGCGGCACCTTAAAGCTAGCTTTAGCTGGTTAGCTTTAGCTACAGTCCCGGATCAACCTCTTCCGGTCTGACTCTCTGTGGGTCGTTTAAACTCTCCGCCAGCGGTTACCGTCGCTGTCGGCCGCTGAAAAATAACCGTTAAATGAAGAATAAGATCAGTTTGAACCAACCTGTCTGCTTCTCCCGGACGGACGCCGCCATGTTGGATGTTGTTGGTTGTGACAGAGCGTGTGATGACGTGGCAAGAGAGGCAAAGAGGAGAGAAATGCAATGAGGGCTCACTCTGCTGGTTTCTCCAGAGACAAACAATAAGGAAATAATTAAAGAGGTCTCACTCTGCTGGTTTCTCCAGAGACAAACAATAAGGAAATAATCGAAGAGGTCTCACTCTGCTGGTTTAAACATGGACAAACAACTGATTTGACTTTCTTGAATCTACTTTATACTTTCACATATTATCAGTATTAAAATGATTACGCATTCTTATAAATTAAACTACAAAACAGTTTAAGTTGTTTATATTAGCACTATTTTGACATTAATCATCAATAATCTATATAAAATATAATATATATATATGTATTATATTTTACTTGTTGACTATTTTCACAGTGCAGGAAAGAATCTGAAAACTTCATGTACATATTTTTTATTATATTTTGATCCTCAATTTTGCTATTTAATGTTTTTTTTGACTGTTTGTTATGCACTAAAACACTGAAGCTAATTCCTCGAATGCTTCAAGTCATTTTGCACTTCAGATATGTATAAAAAGAAAAACATGCAGGTTGTTGGATATTTTATTGTATTTTGAACTAATTCTGATTTTATTTGCTTCCTGAAATGTTTTAATTTTTGGTTCAATCAAGTAAAGAACTTTATTATAATTAAATGTTCCTATTGGATATAACTTACACATTATATTCATAATGTGAGTCAGATGTTGAGTTCAGTTCTTTAAAGTTTAATAAATGTATTGATGATCCACATTAAAGATAAAAGTTTAAAACATGAAGAAAACACAGAAAACAAGAAAGTTGAAGAAAATGAAAAAAATAAAGTGGTAATCAGGAAGTGAACAAATTATTATGAAGATATTAAAAACACTTTATAACTGATCCTGTACAAACCTAAATGATTCTACACTGTAGCGCTTCATTGTTACTGTAAATCTTCCAAAATTTACCGTTAAGGACGTAGTTTTAAGGTTATAATATATAAAATATATCACAGTATTTCTGACGGATTATGCGCATATTTATAGTTATTTTTAAAGAAAAACAATCCTTAAGTAGTTAAAGTTATTAAATGAGGGTATTAATAAGACACATATTGTGAGGATCCTGTGGTTTCAAGTCTAGTTTGCAACTGAAAACGTTTTATAATTTGGGATTCGAGCCAATCAGGAGGCAGCGATGTGAAGTCTTCAAACAACACGAGAGAACGAATAATAATAAATGTTCCTCAAAATCTGATCCAATCAGGATCTTTACGTTTTCATTTCTCAGAAAACAAAAAACAACAACAACACAAACATACGGAAAATCTCATCAGAACAAGAAACAACAGAAGGGACGCACCGACACTGATATCAGGAGATATATATATATATATTTATATATATTTATATATATTTATATCTCATAGTGTTAGAGTCTGATCAATGATTCCAGTCTGTTCACACAGATCAATAATAAAACGCTGCTCTCTGATTGGTTCTCTGTATCAGCTGACGGTGCGTTCCTCATTAAAAACTTAAAACTATGTACAATAAAAATATAAGAATCAAAAGTAACTCCGAAGATAAAAGTTGTAAAGTCATAAAACATAAAAGATATTTATCAATTTACAAAACATGATGCAGAGAATATTTCACGACATCACATCGCAGAAAAAAAAAAAAGTTTGTATTGTTTCATGAATTCAAAGTTTCAGATTTTTTAAAATCATTTGACTCTTCACCTTCTCCTCCTCTAGCTGGCTGTGAGGAGGAGGTGCATGTGGTGGCTGACTGCCTGCTCCATGGAGCTCTTGAAGGCCTCGTATGAGGAGGAGACGGGCAGGAGGAGGCGTCTGGAGTCGGGCTCGCTCTGAGGGAAGAGATCTTTGTCCCTCAACAACTCCTCCCTCCTCATCCTCAGTCTCATCCTCCTCCCTCCTCCTCCTCCTCCTCCTCCTCCTCCTCCTCCTCCTCCTCCTCCTCGCTTTACGGGATGGAGGAAGGAGATGGAGGGAGAAGGGAGGAGGCCGGCTGCTGGGAGCTCCTCACCTCCTGTGGAGAAACGAAGGAGGTCTTGCAAGGAGATAGAGCTCCTCCCAACTGAGGAGAGGAGAGCAGAGTGAGGAGAGAGGGGAGAGGAAACAAGATGGGAGGAGAGGAGAGGGAACAAGAGAGAAGAGGAAAGAAGAGAGGAGAGAAATGTATTTCCATCCTTTAAATAAATAAAATAAAGTAGTTTTTGGTTCGATGGTGAACAAAACCAAAGCTTCTGTTGCTGTGGAGACGTTTACATTTAAACCTCTCTGAGGTCCTGGGTCCAGGATCCACTCAGGAACCTGAGTCCAGACTTGAAGTTCAGGACCCTGAGTGGATCCTGGATCCTGGACCCCGAGTGGATCCTGTCTCACCTTCACAGTCCAGCAGGAAGCGTGTCCAGAAGCTGCAGACGGGCGTCTCTCTGCTGCGTCTGTCCTCCTGCTGGGAGATGAGGACGCTGAAGATGTGAGCGAGCGTCTGAGCCGACAGACGAGCCGAGCAGAAGACGTGACAGAAGAGCGACGGGTAGAGCTGCACCTGGACCACGTTTAACAGGGTTCAGGTCTGTGTACTGGTTTAGTATTTAACATCACGTCACATCTTTCTCTCATAATATTCACAGCGATCATCACTGAAGAAAGGAACATTTCATTTACTGATTAAATGAGACGTCAGATTTGAAGCAGATTTTGCACTGATGCATTGTGGGTTAAACAGACACAGGAAGAAGCACAGATGGGTTAATACGTCTTTAAGTCACCTGATCAAAGACACCCAGCGTCTGCAGACCGGCCCGAAACCTGCAGGAGACAAAACATTACAAATAATAATGAATAACTAGTTGGAGAGATCAGAGTCTCAAGAGAAGTCGGCGTACCTCTGCAGTGGAAGCTGCATCCTGGTGATCATGGTGAAGCCGACCACATCCTCCACCAGAGCCTCTCTCTCCTCCAGGCTGCCGATTGGTCGGTTGCAGCCGGCCAACTCCAGGAACTCCCAACTCGCCGCCATGACTTCCTGCAGCTCATCCACAGACTCCGCCTCCGCCATCTGAAACCAGCAACAATCATTAAACCTTTGGCTGGTGAGCAGCCTGTACTGTGTGTAAAGTGTAACTCACCCGGCTGACCCGGCGGGTGACGTGCGTGTCGGGGGTCATGTGCGTGAGAGAGAGCGGGCGGTTGGCCGGGTGGTTGAAGAGACACTGGTAGAGAGCGCGGGAGAAGAAGCCCACAGGAGGACCACCGTGAGCCAGAGAGAGAGCCAGCAGGCAGCCCACGTCGAAGTACAGGTCCTCCCTCACAGCTGCAGACAGAACACAGCGCCATGAACCAACCACGGGGCTCATGGGCCCTTCAAAATAAAAGTCCTGCTCCTCTACAGAACCATCATGACTAGAAGTAGAGATAACTAGAACAAGTCTTTAGTGCACAACACAGTTATGATGAAATCAATCATTAAAAATAAAGAAAGGCAAGTTTAATATCTTTGATAACTGCAGCAAGATAGAGCTCCTCCCAACTGAGGAGAGGAGGAGAGGAAACAAGAGAGGAGAGGAAACAATATAAGAGAGGAAACAAGAGGAGAAACAAATGTATCCTTTAAATAGATGAAATAAATAAAATAAAGTAGTTTTAGGTTCTATGGTGAACATTCAGTGAAATCTTTTGTTGAACAGAACAAAAGCCTGGACTTATTTTACAAAAAATGTAAAACAATAGAATCTAAATATCCAACATGTTCCCAATGTTGGATAAATAAACTGAGACTCTACGTGTCATAAATATTAAACTATTAACATGTTTCCAGCCTCCCCTCCCCTGGTTAAAGAAAACGCTTTATTAGAGGAGAGATTTATAATGAGAACATGAAGAATAAAGTGTTTTGACGCTTTGTTTCCGTTGCTTTCTTTGTGTGAAGTGTTGGTCATACATGATGTGTTCAAGGACCATCGGAAAAATGAAAGATCAATACCCTGGGAGTCCAGCGCCAGGTTCTTGGATCCGTCTGGACCCTCGAACACCACAGAGCTCTGGATCTGCTGCACCAGCAGCTTCAGGAAGTACTGCCTGGCCGTGTCGCTGTCCCGGAGGCTGCTGGGAAACGCAGTCAGCTGGTCGTCTTTGAACCTGGACGGAGCCAATGAGAAGAGACGAAAGAAAATGTTCAGAGGAGTGAAACACGTTGATTAATAACCGGGTGGAGACTAACGTCACTGAAAAATAAAAAGGTGCGTTTGTTGTCCGCTCACCGGACGGACAGAGTGCGTGTGGGGTCAAAGTCGGGCCTCCTCACAAGCTCCACCCCTGCAGACAGAGCTTGGTTCCCGTCCACCTCCACCTGCATGCTGAGGGGACCGAGCTGAGGGCCCAGAGCCTGCAGGATCTCTTCAGGTGATCTGGATCCAACAGGTAACGCCGGCCTGAGAGAGGGAGGAGTCACGTAGCTGTCAATCAAATTTAAAAGGACTATTCATTATGACAACAAACACCTGGAACATCACCCGGTTAATCAACGGTGCGTTACAGCCGACGGAGTAGAGGTGCGTCAGGTTCGCGCACCTCTTACAGCCGACGGGGGGGAGAGGTGCGTCAGGTTCGCGCACCTCTTACAGCCAACGGGGGGGAGAGGTGCGTCAGGTTCGCGCACCTCTTACAGCCGACGGGGGGGGAGAGGTGCGTCAGGTTCGCGTACCTCTTACAGCCGACGGAGGAGTGGATGGGGGACAGGTGGCGTTTGGACAGCAGACTCCTCCTCTGTCCTCCCCGAGGAGATGAAACCAGGGAAGCTGGTGGAAACGAGCACAGACGTTATATGAGGATCTAGACCTGATCCGGTTCCCACCAGTGATTCATAATTAATAAACTACAGTGGGTCCATCAGAGACTCAGACCTCTTCCATCAGTCGCCTGTGTGCAGTCGCTGCAGGCCCAGTCTCTGGTGTCCGACTTCAACCCAGAACACTTCCTGTGACTCCCTCTGGAGCCACAGAGCCGGCAGCGAATCACCTCGAACCAACTGAAACAAACAACAACAACAACATGGTCACACACTGTGTGTGCTGCTCCAGTTATAGTTTACAAACCGGATCAACGATGAGGCAGCAGAACCAGACATACACCTGGTGCTTAGTACCCACAATGCAACACTTCCTCTGACAGATGTGCAGAGAATGCTTCTAGAAGAACAGGATGATGAATGAAAGATCATTTTAATTTGAAAGACTTTAGAACTCAAAACAAGACTATTTGTTTACAAACAAGAACAATAAAGAAATGTGGGTTATTTAGTTAGCTACACATCTTAGTGAGTTTTCTTTTTGTTGCTTTTTTACATTAATATGTCAATTTAATAGATTAATTGAATGAAAGATTGTCAGCCACAATGTGCAGGATCAGGATGGTGTCTGTAATGACCCCTGCAGCCTGTAGGGGGAGTTAGTTACATTCTTAACATAGTTCTCCACCACTGCAGGTAAACAGTGTGTGACTCTAACATCGTGAATGAAAACAGGAACATCAGAACTTAAATACCCCGTCTTGGCAGAGTGCGTTCGCCCGTTGTTGCAGAGGCAGGCGAGAGCGTCGCAGCGCGCGTAAACCTCCAGCAGCTCTGAGTACGCGTTGGTCTCCAACTCCCATGATGCATCTCTGCAGACGAGAAGAAATTGAAAAAAGAGGTCTCCTGCTTTAAGCTCCATCCACAATAATACCGCGTTTTTAAAAACCAAAACGTATTTGTGTGGATGTACGAGCATCTTTTTAAAGGCAGGGTTCATACACATTTTGACCAATGGATTTCCATGACCTTTCCATGACTCCAAACCAAATTTCCATGACCAAACATTTTGTGAAATCTCGGTGTATACATGAAAAAGTGACAAAATGTAGTATTTAAACTACCAATGAGAATTCCAAAGCATACAGTATACCTTAAATGACACAAACGAATGAGAGACAATAGTTTGATTAAAAGAATAAACATTTATAAATATACTCTGGTTGACAGGCATTCATAACACTGACACATCAATAAGAGCTTTAGTAGGTAGCAGCATCCAGCTAGTGCACATATTGCTTTCCCTTTTGTAGTGCACATTTTTCATTGAACCCTGTTAATGTGTGGCTTAATATTAACTTCCACTGTTACTGTACAGCTGTTGGAATTGTGGCCTATCTTCTATTTGCAATTAATATGCATTCAATCCAGTTCAATTATTTAAATGAAAATGATAATCTACTCTGGCTAAGGTAACTTATCAAGAGTAAAATAATAGCTGTGATCTATACACACCTCTGCATTAGCAACCTGCTGAAATGAAGGTACAGGCACCTTCACCCTCTCATTACTTCAGGGTTCTTGGGAGCAACGTGGGACTGTTGGGACTGTTAGTGCACTGGCTGTGGTCATCACAGTGAACAGTGTGTACAGTGTGATGAGAGGACATGTGAGCCCTTGTTGCTGCAGTTCATCTCATGGAGCAGAGGCTGCATTTAGCATACCCTGCCTTATCAATGCATTTAAAACACTGTGACAGCAGGAAGCTGCACTCCCGTCTGTTTAGACCTCCACCTTTATCCAGGCCCACCTCCACTCACATCTCAGCCCTGCATCAAGCTGCGCTACACAAACAGCCTCCTCTCCCTGGAGCTCTTTGACCTCATCATCTCATCAGTATCTGGGCCTCATGTTTCGTGGTCATGAAAGTTATTCTGACCACGAAATCATCGTCATTCTACTTTGATTTAAAAAAAAAAACAACCTGCAACCAGATGCGCCGGTGTTCGGGTTTAACGTTAACGAGTGATCGCGTGAGCTGAACCGGAACACGGGGGGGCTTCATGTTTCATCACGCTACGTTTTTTCCTTCTAAATCGCGATAATGATGAACGTTAACAGTCGACAAAGTTCCGCATGCAGTGGACGTTAACTTAACCCAGCAAGTCTGAACGGTAACGGAACTTAAACTTTAACGGAGGGAAATGAAGACGCTGTACACATCTGAACGCTGATTGGCCAAGACTCGACACATCAAAGATGTTCTATTGCGAAGATCACGACATCACATTTTCTCCTCGTCTCACTCCAATCTGAGAAACTCTGGCTGACAACTCACCGTAAATGAACGACATGAAAATATGAATAGAACACATTTCCATGACTTTTCCAAAACTTTTGGGATTTTATTTTTTTCCAATAACCATTTTAAAATTCCATGACTTTTCCAGGTTTTCCATGACCGTACGAACCCTGTAAAGGTCTCTGTTTCTGTTCGTCCACACAAAGACAAAACCCCGGAGTTCTCAAACTAACACGCCGTCTGTAGCGCCTTCAAACGCCTCTGATTTTTGGGGTTTTAAACCTCAGTACTAGTGTGGATGTAGCCTCATTTTTTCCCACAATCCCTTGCCTTCTGTGGTCATTGCCTACTGTTGTAGAGTTCAGGTGTGATGACATGACCACGTTACCTCTCTGGGATGTAGATTCCCATCCTCAGCATCTCCTCCTGGAAGCTCTCCTTGTTGCTACAGAGAGTACATCTGAAGAAGAAGAGGCCGGCGCTGTGGGCCTGACGCTGAGACACAGACAGACAGACAGAGAGAGAGAGAGAGACACACACAGAGAGACAGACAGACACATATTATATGTATATTAGGGGTGGGGGAAAAAGTCGATACAGCATAGTATCGCGATATTTTGCGTGGCGATATTGTATCGATACATGGACGCCAAGTATCGATCTTTTATTATATAAACTATTAAAAAAAAAAAAAAAAAAAAAAAAAAAAAAAAAAAAAAAAAAAAAAA